CATGACAGGTCAATACTGATCACATGACAAGTCAATATTCGAGGTCAGTGTCAGCTACATAATTTTGGGTCAACATCCAAATGTATTGCTTCGTCACGTGGTACGGATTAACCAATAGAATTGCAAGATTCTTAATAGAGGTATAACAATAAACAATATTCACTCTGTCCATGGGCTGTGTCCTGGGGGGTCACAACGACTAAGAAAACACAAAATCATAACTGAGTGAGTGAGTGAGTGAGTGAGTATGGTTTTATGCCACCTTTAGCAATATTCCAGCAATATCATGGCTGGGGACACCAGAAATAGGCTCCACACATTGTACCCATGGCGCGAATTGAACCCGGGTATTCCGCTTGACGAGCGAACACTTTAACCACTAGGCTACCCGACCGCCCCAAATCATAACTGACATACCACTGGCAGAAACTGTTCCCCTGTCAACTAACTCATTGTCAATGGCGGGCGAGAGGATCATGACATTATACGAGTGTCACAATGTCATTTAAAGTGTATGACATATACATGACCAGATCCATTGTCACACACACTTAACAACTGAACACACAAATTCATAATGGCTACAACACTTGTATCCAAAACGTGCACTTGAATCTTAACACTTCAAGAACTGTCAAACCTGCACCCTCCGGTCCTGTTTTCTGTTTTCATTCAGACATTAATCACTGAACAAATCAGCCATGCTGACTGTACAAATCAACAATTCATAACTGACGCCAAATTGAAGTTTCGGCTCAATTTTAAAAACAAACAAAACATGTCAAATGAAAAAAAATGTATATACAAGAACACACAACTAACAAGCATGTCGCTGTCAGTGAGTTTATTTCAACAGCTATAAGAAAATCATGGCCATTTTGATGAACTCTAAACATCATCTTCAGCACATTAACTTGGCACAAATGTCCTCCGAAGTAAAGCATTGCGAGGGAATTGTTGACATAAACTAGTCGGTAGAGCACTGACATATCGTGAGCTGAGAGGGTTTTGTAGTAGCGATCTGTTTTATTGCTTCCTGCACACACAAATAACAGATAGGGTCGATGTGTTTCCTCCCCACAATCTACAGCTGTGGCCCGACATCTACCAGTGAGAACATTGTGCATCTTGCCACCCCAAGGTACATTTAACATGTGGCTTTGGAAATTACCCTTAATTGTAATGTGATGATGTCACTTGGCAATATTTGGAAGTTTACAACAACTTGAAAATTGGAAACGTCTATGCTTTAAGTCACTCATTCAAGAACTTTCACATGACATGTTGGATCATTAAATATTAATCTGGTACTTTCAGATCGGTTGGAGATATTTCACCATTGTTTTCCAATTTATTTTTTTTCAATTTTGAAATTATTTTTTTATAGAAATTATATTTTGAATTATTAAAAAAACAAAAAACTTCCACTTTTTTTTCATTGTTGTTATTTTCTTCTCTCAGTACTGGCATCATGTTCTATTTAGTCAATAAAACTATCTAAGACTCCTCTAATTTGTAACTTTTCAGATATATTTTTGTAATCTCATAGTGACAGTGGTTAAAAAAGAAGAAGTTCACATTAAAAAAGCATGTTCTTTAAAATTGAATAAATGACAAAAAAAAAGCAATGTACCTTGGAATGATATGTCAAGGTTTCGTGCTTGCTTTAAAGGTGACTATGCTTGTCGTAACAGGAGACTAACGGGATCGGTGATCAGGCTCGCTGACTTGGTTGATGTATGTCATCGATCACAACTGCATTGATCGATGCTCATGATATTAATCACTGGATTGTCTGGACCAATTATTTACAGACCACCGTCATATAGCTGGAATATTGCTGAGTGCGGCGTTAAAAAACCAACCAACCAACCAACCCTCTCTTATGGCCGACTGTAACAAATGTTTATACAATAATAATAATACTTTCAGTAGAAATAAATACAGATATGAAGATTGACCCTAAGTGTGCAAGAAAAGAAGAAATTTCAGTAAAATGTAGCATAAACAATAAAGATATATGACACTTATACATGGGTCAGTGAGTGGTGTCTGGACATAGGTCAAGTATAGAACAGGGATAACTGAAGTCCTGGTTGGAGGGGAACAGAGTTTTGTTCATAACACTGACATTTCTCCAGAATTTTGTTTAGGACAGGATTATGTAACTAATATTCTTGTCTAACACACTCACAGAGAAGTCTTGTATAAAATATTAGTAACATGGTCCTGTGGTTAGGAACAGTATTGTATTCGTTTATCAGTCAATGATTCAAGACATACAGTTGTCATTATATGGCTGCAATAATCGGATGTGATGTTAAATTTTAACTAACTCACTGAAGACATACAAATTTATCTCTAAAAGAAAGAGCCAAACAATGATTTGCAGGACATTTTTTTTTGTGGGGGGGGGAGTTGATGACAAATTATTTTTTGGCATCCCAGCATCACACTTGACAAGAATAATAACAGAAGACTTTTCTAAATATCATAGTTTTATTCAAAATTATGTTCTCATAACAAGTTGTGAAAAACTAAACACCTTACATTCAATCTTATCATACAGATGTTCGCTGTACATGAGATAGATACCACAAAGCTTTAAACAGCTCACTTTACCAAAAACTCATAAATTGCTCAAATAACCCCTCTCCTTTATCCTTCAAACACTTTGCTATCAACCAATGTTTATAATCATACAGTTTACATGAGGACAAATGTTCCAAACCCAAGCTACCAAGTATTAAGACTATCTTGTAGCACTGTACGAGGGTTTGTATACTACGTGCTCTGGGCAGACATTCACCCCAGTCTCACATGTGAACTTTCCTCAGACCTACACAGATCATGGTTAATCTCAGAAAATGGTGAAAAACCAAAAATGGAAGCCGAGGTTGCATCATTATCTGAGTGTGAAGCCTGCTTATCTTGCAACAAGGGTATCTGGTTATTGCACAAGCTTCATCCACACAAGATCTTGTACGTCTTGTAACCAATATACAACAAAATTAATTCCACTAAAACCACATCAAATGGGATTCATATTAAACAGAAACATCTCTTCTTTCAAACAAATTTCATACATATATGTAAGATTAAGAAATTAATCTTTTTGATGTTTTTTTTTATGGTGTCCACAAATTCAGACCCAAGGTTGTGTCATGCAGAACTGTGTTATCTCTGTGTGAACACTGCCTGATCCAGCACCAAGGGTATCTGGCTTTCATCTGGTATCTCTAGAACCAGAGACTATCTCTCTCTCCAAACTACAGGAATAACAAGACAACCCAGGTCATGTTGGGTTGCTTTTAATTGGCAGCTAACAGACCCGAGTTTGCTACAAATTGTCTTGGGAGTGCTTATTGGGCTGCTAATGCATTCAGCTGGCCCCTGTTGATCCCCTGAGCTCAACTTACCAGCCATATGCCTTTATAGGGGCCACAGGGTCCCAGACTACAACAAGCTTGCCATTTAGGAAGAAACAGTTCACAAAGTACGTCAGGGAGGTACTGTTTATGAAGGGGAAATTGGAGGATGTTTGTGAGGGTTCTTGTGACAATGGGATCACATTTACAAACACATACAATTAGCCATTATTGCGCCCTCCAAGTTGTGGTCTTTTGAGACGTCAAACATTTTGTAATTAGATCTAGTTCAATTGGAAAATACACCAATTACATAAGTGGAAACATTACAAGACAATTATTATGGCAAAAATAGATGATGAAGCATCTTGCATTCTCTTCTTTGACCTGTACCATATGTTACCCTGTTTGTCAGGTGAACAATTGATTTGCCTTTGCATGTGTTCGTGATGGGTGCCGCTGGTTGGGCAGGATTTGCTAAACTTTTTGTGAACACCTGTTATTGTCACTATTTGATAGTGATTCATTAACACATGCTCATGATATAGTCAGAATAGTACAATGGGCTCTGCTTTTACAGAGATTTCTTTCTTGTTTTGTTACTTTTTTTGTAGTAAATCCATCTCTTGGTGCCGTGTACACCAGTCATAATGACATCCGTGGCACATTACAACAAACACACACCATAATACGCTGATGGAAGTTTAAATATAGAATCTTCTTCGGTGCATGGTGTGAATAATATAAGATATATTTTTTTAAACCAGTTGGATGTGGTTTGAACAAATTTTTATATAGTAATATTCTGAAAGATGTAATTTCCTGAAATAACTTACCTTTTCCCTCTCATTTAGGGGAGAAGGGCTAGTGAAAGTATTTTCTAAATTCTCCATCACTTGAAGTACTCGCATATTCTGTTATCTGTTTTTATATCCAGCAGTTTCAACTACAAACATATGAGTTCTTCAACTTTTGTTTGTTGGTAATTATCCATTAACTTTATTCTTAAAATCTAAAATTGAACCTTTCAATCCCAATAAAACTTTGATTACTCAAAAATGTCAATATTAATGTTTTTCGGGTGCTGTATTTAATTAGTTTCCGAAAGGAACACGTCCCTCGAGTAGGCAGACAGGGATGGTTTCTGTGAATGTTTCGATAGATCACTCTATAATTACTAGCGGGAAAGAGGTATGTAAAGCCAGGAGGATAACATGCAGATAACATATGATAATTTTGGAACCTAAAGGGCAGAAAAAACCCCACAAATACCAAAACATTCACTCATCATAAACGAAGACCCAGGTTTGATTCCCCACTTGGGTACAATGTGTGAAGCCCATTTCTGGTGTCCTCGTTTTGATATCGCTGGAATATTGTTAAAAGCTGCGTAAAACCACACTCACTCATGAACATAAACCTGTCATCTTGTTCATAAAGACCCCTCCCCCTCCCCCTCCCCTCCTTGGAGATCCGAATTAGAAAAAAAATTGGTCTCAAGCAACCCAAGCTTGATCTGAGAGGCGACAATCACGATGTTGATTATTTGCTAAAATACAGACCTCCAGCAAATAGCTGGAATATTACTGAGAGTGGCATTAAACAACAAACAAACAACTCATAAAACATACATGAACTCAAGGGTATTATTCAGGAACATACAATTGCAGATCATTTAACAATCTAAAAGAATATTTCTTGTAAGGATATTTGAAGAAGGGAAGTAACTCTACATCTGCTGTTTTATCGTCTTTCGGAACTCCATAAGGTTATTATATTATTGCTGATGTCACTACTAGTCGGCCATAGAATAAGACAGATATTTCATGATTGAAATCAACATTGATTAATACTTCAATATTTATTCTATTACTCAACATTTAACACTTTCATAAATGAACAAATAATAATTCATCATGAAATATTTGACCGATTCCAAAGACGAGACATCTCTCCAGACTTCCAGGCAATGGTCAGTGTTCTGGGACTGTTAATCACCCCCATAAACTTCCAAATCCTCATAAAATCATTACTGCCCCCAAAAGATCAATTATCACATGTAAGGCCATGAAACAAAATCTGCCTCAAATTTGCAACCCACATCTGCACTTTGTTCCGATGTCAAGCGAAAACCCCATGTGAACAATTGTTAATCTGGAGTGCCATAAATATCCAAAATAGTTCCAGTTGGAGTACTTCACTTTGTTGGGATGTTAACATCATATTTCCTCATAAGGACGTGGGCACCTCATCATGTTACTCCTTCTCCCTGGGTGCTACACACAATTAGGATTTAGCTTCATGAATCATTGGGGGATGACCAGTAAATAATCTGCAAACAAAAAAATAAACACGAAAAAAGATTGATTGAAAAAGGAATTTTTTAGTGATGTAACAATACACCCATGCATCAGTTAATTGCAATACGTTTTGCACAATATGATCGTGCCAAACTGGTTTAATTTTCATCTTTTTGTTTTACAATATGCATGTAACAATGGTTAAAGTGACGAATGTACACTATAACAAGGTATTAAAGGGAATCTGATCATATGTTTGTCGTGAGGAAATCATATAAAAATAGATATGTCAAGTACATATGGTTGTACAATTAGTTGTAAACAAACAAAGGGGCTGTCTTGATGATCTTTCATGGACCTATCATCATGTTTCAATGTATCACAATACAGACACTGTCTACTGCAATATATTTCAATACAGACACTGTCTGTTGCAATATATCACAATACAGACACTGTCTACTGCAATATATCACAATACAGACACTGTCTACTGCAATACATCACAACACAGACACTGTCTACAACAATACATCACAATACAGACACTGTCTGTCACAATATATCACAATTCATGCACTGTCTACTGCAATATATCACAATACAGACACTGTCTGTTGCAACATATCACAATACAGGCACTGTCTACTGCAATATATCACAATACAGACACTGTCTGTTGCAATATATCACAATACAGACACTGTCTGCTGAAATATATCACAATACAGACACTGTCTGCTGAAATATATCACAATACAGACACTGTCTACTGCAATATATTTCAATACAGACACTGTCTGTTGCAATATATCACAATACAGACACTATCTACTGCAATATATCACAATACAGACACTGTCTACTGCAATACATCACAATACAGACACTGTCTACGGCAATACATCACAATACAGACACTGTCTGTCACAATATATCACAATACATGCACTGTCTACTGCAATATATCACAATACAGACACTGTCTGTTGCAACATATCACAATACAGGCACTGTCTACTGCAATATATCACAATACAGACACTGTCTGTTGCAATATATCACAATACAGACACTGTCTGTTGCAATATATCACCATACAGACACTGTCTGCTGAAATATATCACAATACAGACACTGTCTGCTGCAATATATCACAATAAAGACACTGTCTGTTGCAATATATCACAATACAGACACTGTGTTGCAATATATCACAATACAGATACTGTCTACTGCAATATATTACAATACAGACACTGTCTACTGCAATACATCACTATACAGACACTGTCTACTGCAATACATCACAATACAGACACTGTCTACTGCAATACATCCCTACCAATATTTGGAGTTTAACATGACACAGGTGAAAGTCATTTATCACATTGGTGAAATCTGTTTTCTGAGTTTTCTTCTTTATTTTACATACACAATGGATTATTATGGATAGCACCATAACACCAATGTGTATGTATAATGAAGTTGTTATCCACATAACACCAACGTGTATGCATAATGAAGTTGTTATCCACATAACACCAACGTGTATGCATAATGAAGTTGTTATCCATATAACACCAATGTGTATGCATAATGAAGTTGTTATCCATATAACACCAATGTGTATGTATAATGAAGTTGTTATCCACATAACACCAACGTGTATGCATAATGAAGTTGTTATCCATATAACACCAATGTGTATGTATAATGAAGTTGTTATCCATATAACACCAATGTGTATGCATAATGAAGTTGTTATCCATATAACACCAATGTGTATGCATAATGAAGTTGTTATCCATATAACACCAATGTGTATGCATAATGAAGTTGTTATCCATATAACACCAATGTGTATGCATAATGAAGTTGTTATCCATATAACACCAATGTGTATGTAGAATGAAGTTGTTATCCATATAACACCAATGTGTATGTATAATGAAGTTGCTATCCATATAACACCAATGTGTATGTATAATGAAGTTGTTATCCATATAACACCAATGTGTATGCATAATGAAGTTGTTATCCATATAACACCAATGTGTATGCATAATGAAGTTGTTATCCATATAACACCAATGTGTATGCATAATGAAGTTGTTATCCATATAACACCAATGTGTATGCATAATGAAGTTGTTATCCATATAACACCAATGTGTATGTAGAATGAAGTTGTTATCCATATAACACCAATGTGTATGTATAATGAAGTTGCTATCCATATAACACCAATGTGTATGTATAATGAAGTTGCTATCCATATAACACCAATGTGTATGCATAATGAAGTTGTTATCCATATAACACCAATGTGTATGTAGAATGAAGTTGTTATCCATGTAACACCAATGTGTATGCATTATGAAGTCGTTATCCATATAACACCAATGTGTATGCATTATGAAGTCGTTATCCATATAACACCAATGTGTATGCATTATGAAGTCGTTATCCATATAACACCAATGTGTATGTACAATGAAGTTGTTATCCATAATACACCAATGTCGGATTTCAAACCACGTGCCTCTCTGTGACAACTGATAGCACGATCCACAAGGATACCCATCCGACCTCTAAAAATCGGATAAGAGATATCTTTAAATAGTTTTTAAATCAGAATCAAATTCAAAATGATTAAACATCCTGAAAATGGAGAACAAATGAGTTGTGTTTAAATTATGTGAGATCTACCTGTTTCATTTTTCAATTTAATTACATCATTAAACAGCTCCTTATATCATGTATCAAGCCATAAAAATATAACCCGGTTTTCATGTAACTACTAATTAATCAACAACAACAACACCTGGCATTATGAGTATGCATCAATCAAATATATGAGCCTTAATGTTCAACAAAAAATTAATTAAAAAATGAAAGTTCATAATAATCAGTTTTCAGGGATCATCATTACTTAACATATCAAATCTACACTGAGAACTTTACACAAAGGCACCAATTTACCTTCGTTATAGTGACACAGCAAATATTAAAGTCATCTACAAATATTCCACATTGTTCAGCAATGTAATAAATCCAAAGTCGCATCCGACATTTCAAGTTTTATAATCACCCAGTGGGACTTCGGTGCCATGATAAAATAACCATAACAATTACCATACCAAATTTGGTCTGACTCAAGGAATGACTCAACAAGGATAGGTTACATATTTATCACATCCATACAAAATCATACACGTCTCATTATTCATACTAGCGCTACGAACTTGACGCCTTGTTCCAATAAATACAACGTAAACTAACATCAGTTTCTGATCATGTAACAGCTGTTCTTGTTTATAGCTGGTCATTATGGGGTAGGATACAAGACAATATTTCTATTGTGTTGGGGTGACATTTCGCTCCATTTATGCATGTTCCATGGAGTAATTGTCACACATAACTCTCAACAATATGATCACATGTTAGAGTTGATATGTACATGACTTGTACATTGATTGCTTGCTGTTGTTAATTGCAGTGAGAAGAGTGTTTTGTTTGTGCAACATAAAATCAATGTACTGTAATGTAAAAGTATGTAGTAAATATTGAACGAATGTCTGAATTCTGAATGCACTGTAGGTGAGGCGAGGTGAAATTGAGATTAATGTTGCGTCCAAGATTATTGCACTTAAATAGTGACGTGCATGCACGCGTGTGCTTGTACTAAGTCCAGACTGATGCCGATTAAAAGTGCTAGCCCACTGAGATACCATGCACATGAATATGCTACTCAGACACAGTATACAGACTCCAAGCCGACCAGTACTTGTTTTAGCCCCTTAATGCCGAACGCCAGACAGGGAAACAACAAGTACCATCTTTTAATGTCTCTTGGTATGACTTGGAACGCACTGTGTGACGTTGCTGAATTGTAACATGGTTGCAAGATGTCATGGTGCTGAATGATGTAACTTCAGTGCAACCTGGTTGTGTGATGTCATAGCACTGTTGGTTGGTTGGTTTGTTGTTTAACACCGTACTCAGCAATATTCCAGCTATATGACGGTGGTCTGTAAAAAAAACGAGTCTGGACCAGACAATCCAGTGATTGACATCATGAGCATCGATCCACGCATTTGGGATCGATGACATGCATCAACCAAGTCAGTGAGCCTGACCACCTGATCCCGTTAGTTGCCTTTTTAAGGCAAGCATGGGTTGCTGAAGACCTATTCTACCCCGGAATCTTCACGGGTCTGTCATAGCACTGAAGGAAATCATTACATTGTAAACTCTTTGCATGACATCATAGAACTGCATGATGACATCATGGAATTTTCTCCATGTAAATTGAATGTAATTATAAACAAGCATAACTGATCAATTTGTGAAATAAATGTTAGATAAATATATGGATATTATGACTAAATACAATTTATTATACTTAAATATGAAACTGTGAACACAGTGAATGATTTCCCCATGTCTCTATTGTAAACTGTGAACACAGTGAATGATTTCCCCATGTCTCTATTGTAAACTGTGAACACAGTGAATGATTTCCCCATGTCTCTATTGTAAACTGTGAACACAGTGAATGATTTCCCCATGTCTCTATTGTAAACTGTGAACACAGTGAATGATTTCCCCATGTCTCTATTGTAAACTGTGAACACAGTGAATGATTTCCCCATGTCTCTATTGTAAACTGTGAACACAGTGAATGATTTCTCCATGTCTCTATTGTAAACTGTGAACTTAAACTGGCATGGTAGGTATGAACTGGGCCTTGTGAAATGAATGCACACTAACCCCCTCCTTTTCATTTGGACAGTCAACAGATTATAAGTAATTTTACAAATATCTATCTCAGAAAAAGTTTAGTACTTTTAATACAGAACAGAGGACCTCCTGTAACTCGTACGACTTGTTCGAATCATGGGATCATAATCCAATAAACATCACGTGTCCAAATTCAACTTTTAATTCCTACTCAAATTGAAATTGAGCATAGTTCAACATCCATCCATGTCCGAAATAGTGTTTTGATAGTGTTCTTGAAACAGAA